AAACACTATGAAAATTAATTATAACAAGAGACTGCTGGCATGTGGGCAAATAGCTATAGAAGTGTTTCTGACCTGTAAACTACTGTAATAAGGCAAGTGTATATTTGTACAGAACACCCTGCCCTCCCCCTTCCAAACCTAGCATTAGTACATGATGTGATGCCTGTCATGTATCCGGCTTTCCTGTGTGGTGGATTGTGTGGCATAGTTAGTGCAGGCATTACATCAAAGTGATCTCATAATAGATTTCTAATCCGTACTTGTATTCAAGTTTACTGTTTCATGCATTTGCGATTAAATGTGGTGTCCCTTTAATGATATCTTGATTTTGCTCTGGATGACTGCTTGCTATTACTGTGCTGAGAACAGGTTACAGTGATTAAATGTTACAACACCAGAACCACTGCCACTGTTCTTGTTGAAGGTAAACATTCTTAAGAACAGCGTAGCCAGGACTCTCACTAAATTAATTCACTCTGTAGCTTTCCTAGCTGAACTGACCTCTGTTGTAGGGCTGTGTATGTTTAAACTGAAGATTAAAGTGTTGTGTGATGCTGAGCTTTTGGTTAAAAAGGCACATGCTGTACTATTGTACAATAAATCTACAGGTTTACTTAAAATGTAAAATGTGTGAGTAATTTACAGGTTCAAAAAAAGACTTCTGCCTGTACCCGTCTGCGAAGCATGCCATAAACATCCTCAGTGAGGTGCGTGTGCCAATTAATTCACAGTTGGAATGGAGAAATAAGACTGGAATTAGTGCCGGAATCCCACTGAGATCCATCCACAGCCCCTTAACTTTGTGCCGGAACACCCTCCTCTTGGAGTACACATTTCTCTGAGCCCTTTTAACATGCAGGGTTTCAAGTAGAGTGGTGCATAAGAATGAGATGTGCTGCATCAGTGGGGACAGGCCTTAAACTTTTGCATATTTCTCCCTTCCACAATGTTTACAAATCTATTCTTTCAGTCCTTAGGATTAGAAAGCATGGTGTGCAGTGTGCTAGCAAACCTGTGGTACTAAAAATTCCTTATAACTGTGGTGGTCAGGATTATAATAACAAAGACATATAAATGTTCCAGTATTTCTGACTTCTGTAATTAAACCCAGAAAACAAAAACATTCAGGAGATTTTCTGAAAGTCATGGCATAAAAAAACCCAGTGGGTTTGTTTGTCTCCTGTCTTATGAGGGTTTTAAGAGCTTTCCATTTTTACAGCCTTCTTTAGGGGGAGAAGAAAATGACAACTGAGATGTTGATGTAATCTGATGCCTCCAGGGGCTAAGGTTTTGAACAATATAGCAAGTATTGGAATAGGCAGTATAAAAATGAGATATTTAGAAGCAAATGCTGTTTACATTTACGAACTGTGATTATGGGAGTATATTAATTGAGTTAAGTGGCCTTGCAGTGCTGATCTTTCTTCAGCCCTCCTTATTTTGCCTCTCCATGCCCCAGGCATTATATTTCAGCAGTGACTTAAGCACATCCATGATTAGACACCATTTAGCACAGTGCTAGATTTTCCCTGAATTAATGGTTAATACTTACTGTTACTTTAACTCTGTCCTACTTTCATATTCAGTTAAGCCACCACAGATTTCTGTAATCACGCATCCCTCTGTGTGCAGTGGAAATTGTCAAAGAGAGAAGTTGAAGAGTTTGGCTCCTGCATTGGGATTGTAGAGGGAATTTGACATCTGGGAATGCACTGGAAGCAGTTTAGTATTGTGAAATAAGTAGTTTTATAGACCTTCTTGCTAATCATTCTTTAGTAAAGGGCTGAATAGGATTATGTGGCTATGGGATTCTAGGAGTGCAGTCTGTCCATGCTTTTATAATTTAGGTAAAGCTACTCTGGAAAGATTCCTATTAGTTTCACTGAGGTTTTTATCAGACACTCAAGCCTGGAATCTGAGTACTCAGGACTATCTGGTGCCAAGGCTGCTTATTTTGCATTAGCAGTAAATGTTCTTCATCTTTTCCAGGAGAAAGATGCAAAATAACAAACTAGAAATTAAGGTCACTTTCACAAAATGCAGAACTGATCACTGCAAGACCTAAAGTAGAAACAACAGAGATGAGCTGGACCAGTGTCAACCCACAGCTCACTAAGCTTCTGAACCACTGCTCAGTGGAAGATAGGAAGGTAAATCAGAGTGACCTTTTTGTTACATTCATCTACTGAGGATGTGGTCAGGGCCGTAATTTAGAGGTAAAATACAGAGCTAGATGAACTTCTTATCTGATGGCAGGAATAGAGGGGTTCACAGTGTTGCAATACTATCCAGTAATGTGAGATTCAGTTTCATGGACTTGGAGGAGTGTCTGTTCTGTGGTCCACCATGGTGTGTGTGCTGGTGTCCAGGGGTGCAGGACCAACATCCCTCCCCCACATTCCAGCACCTCCCACACAAAAGGTAAATTAAACACATTTCAGAAACCATGGACAAGATTCAAGAGAGGATCTGGCTGCCAAGAGCTGTATGAAATTACAGTCTGACTTCCCTCCCTTCAGCTTGCTAAATATCCACTCATGTGGCTTTCCTTGGCTGCTTCCAGTCCTTACCCTGGGTGTGTCAAGAACTAGTCCAGCCTGAGCAGCTCAAGGCTCACTTGTGCCAAGACTCCTCAGGAGTGGATTACAGGGCTTTCTTGTGTCTAGAGGTCCTAAGTTTGCACTTGCACTGTGAGGCAGGTCCCCTGGCATAGCCTGGCATCCTGAATTTTCAGGTCTACCCACCAGCAGCTTGCTTTTGGCCTGTCTGCTTATGTTTCTTCCAATGGAGGTAGAAGACAGCTGCTGTACCTCCCTGGTGTTATAGGAGGAAGGATCTGACTTACAGCTCTGACTCCATTTTGGAGTGTGGCAGGTATATATCAAGACTTGGAGGTTGGGAAGTGCTCCTGAATCCCATATGTCTGTGACATGGTCTCAGAAACTCCATCTTAAAGGGAATAGCAGTAAACCTAATACAACCTTCTTTCCCCTTCAGATTCAGGTAATTCAATTGAAGGTGAAGGGTCCAGAGCACAGGTCTTATGAGGAGCAGCTGAGGCAACTGGGGTTGTTTAGCCTATGGAAAAGGAGGCTTAGAGGAGACCTTACCACCCTCTACAACTGTGTGAAAGGAGGTTGTAGAGAAGCAGAGGACAGTGTCTTCTCCCAAGTAACAAGTGATAGGACAATAGGAAATGGTCTCAAGTTGCGCCAGGTGTGGTTTAGATTGGATATTAGGAAATTTTTTTCACTGAAAGAGTTGTCAAGCTTTGGAACAGACTGCCCCGGGAAGTGGTGGAGCCACCATCCCTGGAGGTATTTAAAAGATACGTGAATTTGGCACTTAGAAACATGGTCTAGTGGTGGACTTGGCAGTGCTAGGTTAACAGTTAGACTCTATGATCTTAAAGGTCTTTTCCAACCAAAATGATTCTATGATTCAGTGATAGCAATATTTATCTCTACATACACATACATCAGCATATGTACTTTGAGTTTCCTGTGGTGGCTGGTTCAAATAAAATACAAAAGCATCTTTAGGAGCAGGAGCACTCTAAAACCCAACTAACTGGCTTGTGCTGCACAGCGTTTATTATTACTGTGTGTGTAATGACCACTTCAGTCCTGGTGTTACTAGGTTTTAACAGATGTAATAAAAACTGCTGTGAGGCAGTTCTTGCAGATGTTTAGTGTATAAAAACTTAGGGCCCAGAATGATCTTGCCTGCAAAGAAAAGACTTAGACGCTGCAAAGGTTATCTTTTGGGTTCACTGTGTGCATGCATACAAAAATGTGTGTGGGAGTGAAGGAGC